AACCAAACGGGCGGGCCGGGCGGGCGGACCCGAGCGGCCGGGGCGGGCGGGAAACCCCAGACAGTGGGGTCGAGTGGGCGGGTCACTAAAGCGTCAGTCTTGCATGGATCGAGAGGAAGTTTCGAGCAATAGCTCGATTCCAATGTAAATCGTGAGGAAATCCACATGTGGAGCGTGATTCCTGAGTGTTGGGGGCGCAGCGCTGCAATTAATTTGGGGGAACTCACGCGAGAGCGGAATTCCTGCATACAGTGTGCGTAAGTCCAGCGCGAGAGTACGATTTTGGAAACATGGTTAAGAAATATCAGGCGGGAGCCGTTGTTGTTGATGCTGTTGTTTGTTGAGTTTTTACTCATACTGAATAATCAATGTTGATCTCCCCTCAGGTAACTATTTCATGTGTTTCTAAGTGCTCCTTCTGGGGCTCGCAGCCTGTTTCTTGCAAGGGACAGCGTGGGGTCACAAAACTGTGCCCCTCCACCCCGGTTTACAACAACAGCGGCTCCCGCCTGATATTTCTTCGCAATGTATTCCCTAATCGTGCTCTCGCGCAGGACTTCTTTACAATGTATGCAGGAATCTCGCTCTCGCGTGGAGCTTCCTTGCAATTTATTCAGACGCCGCTCCCTCGACGCTCAGGAATCACGCTCTGGATATGGATGTCCTCACGATTGTAGTGGCCTCCGGCCAGTGCCGCCGATCCGGGGCGCTCCTGATGCTATTGTTGTTGAAATGGACGATGACGACGACAACGGTCGACGAGCGGGATAATTACGACGACGACCGACGAAGGAGTTAATGACGACGAACCGACGACGACGACCACGACGACGACGACGACGACTACGACGACAACGACCACGACGACCACGACGACGACGACGACGACGACGACGACGACGACGACGACGACGACGACGACGACGACGACTGACGGCGAACGGCTGCCGACGGCCGACGACCGACGACTTGTGACGGCGACGGGTGGAAGGTTCTTCTTTCATCGCTTTCGCTTCCGAGCAATACCAAGTCAGGCCGTGCACCTCTGGCCTGGCAGCACGCGAGAGAGCGCCTCTTGGGGCCTCTTGGTTCTTGGGGCTTCTTGGGGGCCTGAGGGGCCTCTTGGGGGCCTCTCGGGGTCCTCTTGGGGGCCTTGTGGGGACCCCTTGGGGGCCTCTGGGGGCCCTTTGGGGGCGCCTCGGGGGCATCTTGGGGGCTCTTGGGGTCATCTTGGGGTGGAGGACTAGAAGGGTCCGTTCGGATTCACCGTCTTGAGGCCATCTTGGGGGCCTCTCGGGGTCGTCTTGGGGGGCCTCCAGGGCTACATTGGGGCCATCTTGGACCGTCTTCGCTCCTCTCGGGGGCCTCTTGGGCTGTCTTGGAGCGATATTGGGGGCCTCTTGGACCGTCTTCGGCGCTTCAAAGACGGAAAAGGCGATAACGTTAAAGTGCTTCAAAACCTATCAGCAACTTTTTTATTGTACCCTCTTGGGACCCTCTTGGGGGACCTCTTGGGATCTCCTTGAGGCGTCTTGGAGGCCTCTTGGGCCGTCTTCAGGCCATCTTGGGCGTCCAGGAGCGCTCTTGGGCCGTTTCGGGCGCCTCCTGGACCGTCTTGGTGGCCTCCTGGGCCCCTTTTGGCCCGTCTTGGGGCGGTTTGGGGATTCCCGGGGGGGGGGGGGAGAAAGGGTGGACCCCATGACCCTCCCCCCCCCCTCCCCCCCCCTACCCCGGCAGAGCCACCCCGGCCCCCCCCCAAGCAGAGCTGAAACTCAGGTTGTAGCTTTCTTAAACTCACACGCCGGATCGGCGGATTCATTTGGGAATCGCGCTATCGCTCGAGATCCCCTCGCGACTCATGCAGTACGCACGGTTCAGCAGCCCGCCTGCTCGACCTGGCCGCCTGGGCCCGCCTTCCCGACCCGCCCGTTAGGATCTACCCGCCTGATTTGCCTGTCTGGTTTTGCTACGGGCTTTCTCCTTCTATCTCCCCTCTCGTGCTAATCTCTCTCGTGCTCCATCCTCCTTCCTCCGCTTTGTCTCTTCCTTCCATCCGTCCTCTCTTCCCCTAGGGGCTACACGAAATACGCGTTGCAGGTAAGAAAGATGTACCCCAAAGGTGGTACGTTCGAAAACGAAGAGGGTGGATATCGGGGGTCTGGGATATACGTGTTGAATTGTACGCGAGCAGATAAGATCGAACAGTCCTAGAATGGTTGGTGTTGTGTTGTTGTGGTGTTTGTGGTCCTGGTTGTGGTTGTGATTGTTACTGTTGGTGTTGTTGTTGTTGGTGGTGTTGTTGAGTTTGAGCTCGGTGGTGTTGTAAACTGGGGTCCAACAGTACAACATGCGGCGCAATACGTTCCCTAAAAACAAGGCGTGGGCCTTGGGAGAAGCATTGCAATTGAACAAGTAAGTGGGCACAGACGTAGGAATCGACCATCTTCATTATTAAGACATGTGAGTTCATCCGCAAACAGCACTAATCCGCACCGCGAAACCATATGTCAGCCACGAGCCCAGGGACGGTGTAAGACAGACCGCCCCCTCGCTCTGATAGTATGTATCCTGTGCCTCCTCGCCCTCCTCCTCATACTACTGTTCCTCATTGTGTGCTTCCCTCCTCTTAAGCATTCCTCTACACCACCTCCTCTTGCCCTCTTCTCCTGTTTACTGCCTTCCTCGAACCCAGATTCTCGTCTTCTCCTTCTCCCCATCCGCTTTCCCCTGGCGCCTCCTTGTACAATTCCATCAATCGCGCCTCTTCCTCCTCCTGCTCCTCGTCCTTCTCTTCACCTCCTCCTTCGCTTCCTCTACCTCTCCTCCTCCTCCTCCTCCTCATCCTCCTCCCCCGTCTTCCTTTTGACCCGCCCCCCGATTCGGTGGACCTGAAGACGCTATCGTCGGCCGACTTCGCGTTCCTCATCAAGGACAGAGCGCGGGAGGAGAGCGAGGCGGCGACGAGGACGAACATGCTGACGAGGCCGAGGGAAAGGAGGACTGGGATGAGGAGGTGAGCGAGGAGACGGAGGGGGAACGGGAGGAAGAGGAGGAGAAGGAAGAGAGCGAGTGCCGGGAAGAGGAGGAGGACCAGTGTAAACCCAAGACCCGTCAACGATGATGAAATACACCCTTCCTCCGAGATCCCTCTTCATAGGCCCCAACAAGGAGTCATTTCCGCAGAGGGACTTGCCTTGTTGGGGGACGACTGTGTGAACATCTTGAAGCGTTCCAACAAACCATTCTCAGGATTCCAACGCCACGAGTTCACCTGACTGCTACGTATTGGCGGTCATGAGCCGCGCCAGATCATCATTCCTGGGACTTCAACACTGCGAAGCAACGTGACTGGGGAGCCCGGACAAGTCCTGGACCTCTCCAGAACACCGTTTTTGGTACGTTACCAAGAGAATCATTGAAACTCTTACGAATGTATGAAACGAGTGTGCGCGGCGCTAAGGCGCGAGCCACGTATTGAAGACGACCCGCCCTCAATCCATGAAGCGCTTGCAAATTTCACGAAGGAATGTGCGCGGCGCCAAAGCGAGCTCCACATTTTGAAAGCAAAGCGACCCGCCCTCAATCCACGAAGCTCTTGCAAATGTTCAAAACGAATGCGCGCGTCGCTCAGGTGAGAGCCACATTCTGAAAATGAAGCGTTCTCAATCCGCGACGCGATTGCACATGTTAAACCAAAATGCGCGGCGTTAGAGCGAGAGCCATATTTTGAAAACGACCCGCCCTCAATCCACAAAACTTCTGCACACTGTTACAAAGAACGCGGCGCTAAGGCGAGAGCCTAATCTTGAAAACGACCCGCCCTTAGTCTGTGAAGCTTTTGCATTTTTCTTTGGTGAGGAAAACGAAGGTTCGCACCTCTAAGGCGAGAGCCACATTTTGGAAGCGACCCGTATTCCATTTGTGACACTCTTGTCAGTTTTCAAGCAACAGGGTCATACGTGGTGAGGAAGTCTCAGGCGAAACGCCTGGCCCGCCCTTTCGACCAACTTCGGGGTGCGACAGGGTGGAGTTATCTACAAGGAAAGGGAACGGAAGATGTGGACAGGGACAAGAGGAGAAGGAGGAGGAGGAGGAGGAGGAGGAGGAGGACAAGGGTGAGGGCGACGGAGAGGTGCACGGGCCGCGAGGACGGCCCCGAGGGCGAGGGCAGACCGCAGGAGGAGCAGCACGAGGGCGAGGAGCGAGCAGCGCGAGAGACCGCCCCGCCGGCGGCGAGGAGAGGCATTGGCTGCCGGTGGCGCAGAGGCTGCTCGGCCGGGCCCAGGAGACGGCCCCCTCCCCCTCCCCCTCCTCCTCCTCCTCCTCCTCCTCCTCCTCCTCCTCCTCCTCCTCCTCCTCCTCCTCCTCCTCCTCCTCCTAGGTGGCTCGCGGCGGGCCCCCACACCGACCACGACCGACAGCCGACGACCGACCACGACGAAGAATTCGACGACGACGACGACGACGACGGACGACCGACGACCGACCGACGACCTGATGACCGCCGGTTGACGACCGACGACCCCGCACCAGCGACGACCGACGAGGAGGACGAGGATGAGGCCCACCAGGCCCCCAGCGAAAAAAAGTAGTGGAGGCTTCGGGATCCCCAGCCTCCTTTTCCTTCCACATCATCCCCCCTCCACCTCCCTCCCTCTTCTCCATCCTTCTTCTCCCTCATCCCTCGCCGATGCCCGCGGCGGTGGGCGAGGCGGGAAGCGCTGAATGCAGCTTTGACGCAGTCTGTTCTTGAACAAATCGTATCCCTTCTCCCCTTCCTCCTCCTCCTCCTCCTCCTCCTCCTCCTCCCCATCCTCCTCTTCCTCCTTCTCCTTCTCCTCCTTCTCATCCTCATCCTCCTACTCATCCTCTTCGACGTTGAATTGGAAGAGTTCCAGGCGGAGTGCTCGGAGAAAGCATGGGGCGTCAAAGTTGGAGGGGCATTTTACGGTGTTTTGTGTTTTCTGGATAATTTTTGAATATTTGAAACGTCGTTCAACATGTTGGATGATATGGTGCAGTCGTTCCTGGACAGATTTTTTGGGGCTGGATGGTCAGTCCCTCTGCACGAATGTTCTTGGTGCATCACGGCTTCAGATGACATCCCGATTGCGCTAACCGTCAATGGCCGCGACGTCAGGCGAACAGCCCGGAGCGAAGGCTTCAAAGCCTTCGGGACCATCGTCATTTTCGACAGTTCGTTTGGGAAAAAGCTTGGGAACAGGAGCTCTAAAGCGTGGGGGTGCTACTTCAAGTGCAGGGCTCTACTGATGCACAAGTCAGGGTCATTCAAGAAGAACTTGCAGCTGCTGGACATGACCGTCAAGCTCGCGCTCCTGTGGGGGGCGGCCGCTTGGAATCTGAACGTGCGCCAGGAGAGGGCCAGTTGTGGGGTGCAGCGCCATATCGTGCGCCAAAGTTCAGCAAGAGACCGTGGCCCAGTACATGCACCGGTGTGAAGGCCTTTTTACAAGAGCCATGAACCAGTACAGCGTGGAATCGTCGGTGCAAGCTTGGAGAAGGCACCAGTACGAGTGGGCCGGGAAATTGGTACGTCAGGGGTTCCAAGAACCAGATCGTATGCTGTTGAGCGCACTGCACTGGAAAAAAACAGTTCGTCGCTTCACCAGTTTGCCATGGCCAATGGTGGTTGGCAGGGGCATCCAAAGCGTTTTCGTTTGTGACGGTGGGAAACTGAGATATACAATTCCTGTTTATCAACGTGGTGTTGCATGGATGTTTGCGGTTTCTGACGCAGTCGGTTCAACATTATTTCTGTTAGCGTGACGGACCTTTCGCTGATCGCTCTATAGGGCCCACACGGCAAGTGAAACCCTTGAGTACGACAGCTTGATCTTCTCTCCCCTGGAGAACGTAGCGTCGTGAGCTGGTCAACGGCATGCTGTAGACAGGTTTTCCCGCGTGGGTAACCAGAGCCTGCCGCCGCCGCCTCTTCCTCTTCCTTTTACTCGCCATCATCATCTTCATCTTCTTCATCATCATCAGCATAACCATCCGTAGCCATGTTGGCTCAAGTGAGCCAGTTCCCGAGGTTGCGCAGGGCCTTGCAAGCTCGGGAGTCACAGACGCCTGCCCAGGCAGACTCTGGGAGCCTTTCCTTTTCGTGAGCCCTGCCGCTCGCTACACTGCACAAGTCGTTTCTTCGCACCAGTCTACATTGCGCGATGCCGGAAGTTGCTATCTTGACAGAGGTGCAGAAGCTCGCTGCTGCAGCCCGTGGCATCGGAGGCCAGCTCACACATATGCAGGCCCAGCTGCTAGTTTTCAAGGAGGAGATCAAGGCCGACATCAAGAAGCTCGACGACAGCGTTGCCGAGCTTGAGAAGCGAATGGGTCGCACCGAATCTGCACCAGCATCATATATTGCCTCCTCTTCTGTTGGTCACAAGCGCAGGATGATTCAACCTGGCACGGGAAGTGCTGGAGGGCGTGCTCCCACTGTCATTTTCACCGCCTCCGACTCCCCCGACCAGTGTAAGACGTGGATGAACGGTTGGCCGCGCCCAGTCGTTCGTGCTCAGAGGGAGGCTCGGCGCAACGCGCTGCCTTCACGTCTGCCCGCTGAACGAAAGAAGTCGGCCGAGACGTGCTTCGCGCGCATCAGCCAGAGCAAGTTCGACACTGCCGAGGACGCCGAAACCTTCAGGGAGTTCGTCGGCACATTTAGTCCCGCGTGGGTCGGCCCGCGCGACAAGCGGGAATGTCACAACAAATGCAACCAAGACCTTCCTCATGACCTCCGGGAACGCCAGCGGTTGTTGGCTCGCTACTGCGACGCGCCCAAGCAGCACCTCGTCATGAGCGGCCTTTCGTCATCCACCATGCATTGCCAGCCCAAACGAGCAGGCGATCATGGCAGTCGGTGCTGACGTGGGCACTATCACTATGATTGTGGACACTATTGCCTCGCAAGAGGAAGCTCCGCAACCACTTGGACAATCTCAGGCCTGTTTTGGGGCTGCGCTGCGTGCGCGTGGCAGTGCGATCGCTCGTTTGGCCTCTACTCGATCAGCTATGCGCAAGGATGGTGCGCGCTCTACTCGTTCTCCGGCACCCCCCTTTTTCTCCGTCTTCGCTGGCTTTGCATACTGGACCCCCCCCCCCCTGCACTCCCACGCCCTCATCTGTCTGACGCGGGCGCCGACTGCAGCATGAGCGATGCCGGATATGTTCCACAGTTACCCTGCGATCTCAAGGCCGATTTCACAAACGTCTCCTGGCACGTCCAAACCCCCATTGGTGGCGGTCGGGGGCGGGGGCGCTCGCCAGGACAAAACATGATTCCACCTTCGCTCGATCGCTCGCCAGGCGAGTGTCATCCTGTTGCGAGTGACCCATGGGCACCTGGGTGATTATGAGTCTCTTCGAAGCGACTTCCTTTTCTTTGGATGTCACGGTTCATTTTTCCTTACGCACAGCGGTAGTGTCATCGCAATGGTTCGCCAGAGCTTCGCCGCAGATTTCAGCAATCTCAAATTTCGCCCCTTGGCATCTGGCAGAATATCAGCACTTCAGTGTTCGGGTGCGAATGGCGCGTTGAACATATACAACGGGCACATCCCGCCCCTGTATTCCACCAAGACCAAACAGTGTGCCATGCAGCGTCTGGCCCACCGCACTCCTGGCTAGGCGAAGGCTCTTTCAATCGTGGCAGGTGACTCCGACTGCATCTTGACTGGCGACTCTCGCTTCTACACCACGAATGCAGACCCCGCGTGCAGGGACGACTCTCGTGGTGAATTAATTTGCAGGTGGCTCGCGCGGCTGATTGAAGATCAGACAGATTATCCTACGCGCAGAACAGTGCACGAGGGAAGGATCGCCTCTGCTGCCAGAACAGACAAGATCTACTGATCGGCGCAGACACGGAATCTATGTGACTGGCACCCCTCCTCATCAGTTACCCGGTAAGTTACCCATCTTCGAGAACCCCGTGGCCATGTTCCTCGCCGCCTTCAGTTTCGGCCAGGTCGGCCGAAGTCAGACAGCAGCGTTTCTCGGATCGCGTCGCGGGTAGGTCGCGAGCCCGCCTTTCAGGGGAATATTACAGGGATCCTGCGCGATCCCCCAGACGATTGGCATCCCTTTCAGCGGCTTCAGTTCCTGTAAGAAGCGATGCACTTCGCGGCGAGTCTCGCCGATGACCATCTACCTGCGCATGGTTCTGAGACGTCAGCTGGGCGCGTGAGCTGCCGTTTGGCCGCCACGTTGGCGACGGGGCGCTCTGGCGGCCGCGCGGCCCAGAAGGCAAGGCGCGCTGTTTCAGAATTCAAAGCCTTCGTCTCGGAGGACATCCACTGGCCGGGCATCGCTGGATTTCACGAATATATGCGCCAGGCCACTCTTGCGCATCTGCAGGAGCAGGAAGAGGATATCGATCTCGGGGTAACATTCAACGCTCAACATAAGGGCAAGGTGCAGCGCCTGCGCGCCGCTTGGGCCACGCGCAATAAACGCCTAGCCCTCCATGCCATCGTCGGCCCCGATGGCCAGGTCTATGCGGGCCTCGCTGAAGGGGCACCTCTGGGGGAGGGTACGCGGGGAGAAAGAGGTGGAGGAGGAGGAGGGGCGGGGGCGGTACCGTAGTTTCGCGCAGTCTGCTGCTCGCGACGCAGAGTGGAGAATTACTCTCAGCACGTTCACAGAAGCGATAGAAGCAGGCACGGCACCGCACCTGGTCCAGACGGCATACCTTCCTCGTGTTATCATCACGGTGGGGAACGTGCTAGTGGCATATTATGCGCTGTCTATGCGTTCTTGCTCGCTGGGGCGGACTTGCCAGAGGAGTTCAAGTGCTGCCGCGCGGTCTTCTTGCTTAAAAGCCAGTTACCTAGTGAGTGCGTGGAAATTCGCGCACGCCTGCTACGAATAGACCGCTCTCTCTCTCTCTCTCTCTCTCTCTCTCTCTTTCTCTCTCTCTCTCTCTCTCTCTCTCTCTCTCTCTCTCTCTCTCTTTCTATCTCTCTCTGCCCGACGCGCGCGACGAGCTAGCATCGCGCGCTATCGGATCGTGCTTAGCACAGTAAGCACAATGCACGGTTGACTGGGCTCCAACGGGCTTCGTTAAGGGCAGGCAGAGGATCGGCAACGTCGTGGAAGCATCGCCGGCACACGCACTGCGGGGGGGGCGTTGAGGGATGCCGCGATTGCGGGTCAACCCTGGTAGATTTCCGCGCTGCAGTCCTGAGCTTCGCTCACCCTTGGATATCGCGGGTGCTCGCGGTCACGTCGCTTCCGCCGTGCATCATCCACGGCGCGCACGCGCCGCGTAAGGACGCGCGCGCGAAGATTGCGCGCGCTGAGGAGATCTGGCGCGGCCCCCCGGTCTGCCCTGGGCTCCGTGTCCCGAGGGACTTCTTTCAGACTGTACTTTCGTTCTTCAGATTACTCATTAGCTGTGGCAGAGCTATTGGATTTTGGTCGAATGCGGCCAAGACGTACATTATCTTTGAGTTTCCGAAGGACCTTAGCACCATCATCGCTCGTATTCGTGAGATTGGTGCGATTGCTAGTTCGGTGCAATGTGTGAACGGCGGCACTTACCTCGGCACCCGCATCGGCATCACTGATTGCGAAGATGCATGGACACAACCTGAGCTCAAATCTCTGATTGCTTCCTGCAAAGCCTATCGTTCGGCTTCACGGAGGCCGCCATGAGCTACAATTCCTTAGCAGGCAGCGCGCTGAAATAGATTGCGCAATTCCCCCCCCCCCCCCCCCCTTTTTCCACCCCGCCCCGCCACCACCCCGCCTCCCGCTGCTCGCATTCCTCGCGCGCAACGAGAAGGCCCGCAAGCGGCCACTCCATGGCCGCGGCACGCCCTCCACCCAGATCTGTCTGGGTGCCTGAAGAAAAAAACAACGTCGGCATCCCTGCCGACGCACAGGACATTGAGAGCATCGCTCGCGCGGCCCAGCACAGAGTTGCATGTCGTTCTGGTGTATTCCAGAAGTTGGTTGACTGTTACAACGAAATCTTGGAGGGTACTGGTTGGTTGCTGGCCCATAGTATGCTCGAGCACGTGACGAGGAGGCTTTTCTTCCAGCTCACAGACAACTGGAGTACCTTATCATCGATTCCAGGCCGTCCTGATGACCCTTTGTGCAACATCTTCCAAGGCACAATTTTCCGTCTCCTGTCCGCACACCAACGAAATGTTGCCCCGTACTTGTTGGCCCGCATGAGATTTTGGCAAGGGAGAAGTCGCTATGATATCAATGATGCTACGGTCTGCCTGAGGCGGCTGCCGTTATTGGCTCCATGTATGTGTTCCGCAGTTCGTTGCATGCCCGTGCCCGTTTGATCTTGAAAAAAACGCCGCCAGCTTGCCCCTCTGTTGTCAACCTTGTCTCCGCAGGTGTGCCACCCGCGCTGTTTAGCTGATCGTGCCTTGATTTCACGATAGTGGTTTGGTCATCTTCTCGTTTTTTGTCCGCTTGCCTTCTTCTCGTTTGCCCTCTTCTCGCCCCTTGTCCGCCTGCCCTCTTCGCGTCCCTTGCCGCCAGTGGGAGTCCTGATCATCATCAGCATCACCATCATCATCATTTTCGTCACCCTCCTCATGTCATCGTCCCACTTCCACCATCAGCATCATCGGAATCCCTCTCCTCCTCTTTTTCCTCGTCCTCCTCCTATTCCCCTCCCCCTCCTCCTCCTCCTCCTCCTCCATATACTGCTCTCCCCGTCCCCGTCTTCCTCCTCGGCGTCGCCCGCCAACGATTCCAGCCCCCCCTCTCGCCCTCCCCGCCCCCTCGATCCCTTCGTTCTCCCCCTCGGCGCTCCTGCCTCGCTGCTGCTCTTCCTCGGCCTTCTCCCCCCCCCCGCGCCTCAAACCCTCCCCCCCCCCCGCGACCGAGCTTAACCAGCGACCCGCTTGGGTCTCGGAGGGCCCGCGTGGCCCACTCCCTGGCCCCCCTCCCCCACCCCGCCGGCGGGACCTGGCTGGCGGGCCCGCGCCAGCTCCCAGGAAACGCCCTTGGACTTCTCCGCGCCAGTGCGCAGCGCGGTCAGCGCGGTGCGCAAGGAGCTCGACGACCTCATCAGGATTTCGTCGCCGGCGTCGTCGGCGTCGACGTCGCCGGCGTCGACGAGGGGGGTGATAACAAATGGCGTGCGGCGTGGTTGCCTAGTGCGGTCGAATGTCATGGCATGGAATCTGGTCTCGTGGTTATGATGCTTACGCTGTCGGGGATGTCACAGTGGACGCGTGGGGGTGGGATGTCAAGTTCCCCGTGGACTGGATACGGCGTTGCGTGCCTAGGGGCCAGAGGGGGCATGGAAGGACAAGTGAACGTCTTTGTCGAGAGGAGGGCGGGAGGAGTGTTCCAGGTGGGGCCCCCGTCGCCATGGTCAGATTCGCCTCGGATCCTGGTCCGGGGCGCGCCCAAGGACAGGTCCAGGGGTCGAGCCCACATCTCCAGGCGTTGCACAGAAGTCGCGACGAGCGCTGTGCTCCCATCTCGGTGTCTGGTTGCCGCCCTCGCCTCCGGCCCCCATGGCAATTCCACCGGGAAGCTGGACACACGCGATTATGCCAGGAAGTTGGACACAACACGTGACGCGGCCAGCCTACTCCAGATTTCGTAGTAAAGGGAGGGGGGTCTCACTTCGGGGGGGGTCTCTTCCAGGCTATCTTGGAGGGCCTGGGGGGTCTGGGGACGATGCTTTGGAGGGTTCTCCCACGGGGGAGGTCTGCAATGGCTTGTCTTGGAGGGTCCAGACCCCCTCCCTTTTATTACGAAATCTGGAGTAGCCTGTGCGAGAGCTGGATGCACAATGAGGCCGCATGTCTCTCCAGCGCTCGGATCTTTGCTGCCAGGCGCGCTGGCCATCCGCGTCCGTGTCCAGCGCCTGGCCGCCGCATGCTCCACAGTGCGGGTCCTGCCGCGCGTGCTTCCGAACCGAGGAGGAGGAGGATCGAGGAGGAGGAGGAGGAGGAGGAGGAGGAGGAGGATCGAGGAGGAGGAGGAGGAGAAGGAGGAGAAGGAGGAGGAGGAGGAGGAGGAGGATCGAGGAGGAGGAGGAGGAGGAGGAGAAGGAAAAGGAGGAGGAGGAGGATCTGAACGCGGCTGTCTCGAAGGTCAACGCCCAGGGTTTGGGGCGGGCGGCCGCTCGCTGGGCCGACCTCGGGCCTCACGAGGGCACCCGCGGGTGCCCCAATCGGTGGACCTGGCAGCGAGGCCGCTCTCGACGCGAAGCGCGCAAGAGCCCACAATGTCACCGCCCACCAAACCACCCCGACCCAACCCGAAGGCTCAGCTTTACCCTCGATTTCCAGTGCGGGGGGGGGGTCGGGGAACATCGAAGAAACACGTGGAATCCGTGCCCCCCCCCCCCAACCCGAACTTCGGGTCAAGTTCGGGTCCTCGGGTTGGGTTGGGGTGGTCTGGTAGGTAGTCAGAAGCGCGCAAGAACCCACAATGGCGTAGTCCGTCACTTCCCTCAGCACGATGGCGATCGCCTTTCGATGGTGATTGGATTCGCCGTGCTCGTCGGTGCTTGTCGTGGGTTCGCGGCGTTGCGCCCAACCCTCTCGCTGGTAGCGTCGGTCGGGTTCGCGGCGTGTCGCCCAACCCACTCGATGGGAGTTGGTGGCCCCTGGCTGGGGCCAGTCGTCGTGCTGCGTCGTGCAACGTCGGTCATGCCGATGGGTACTCTTGTCCATGTCCGCACCGCCGTAGGGGCGGCCTCCAGCGGCGAGAAGTGCAAAAGCCGCACCGCGGTAGGGCGGCCTCCAGCGGCAGACACCAGGAGGAAGCACGCGTCCGCACCGCCGTATGGGCGGCCTCCAGCGCCGAGAAACTGCCAGCGCCTCACCGCCGCAAGGGCGACCTCCAGCGGCAGAAATTGAGCAAGGCCCTGCCGAAACAACCCGCCTGCAGACCTTCACTGAAACGGCCCGAAGGGTCACCCTAAAATGGGGCAGATTCTAGGGTGACCCTCTGGAAGTCGCTGCTGCGTCGTGCTGCGTGGTGCTGGTGCTGGTGCTGCGTCGTGCTGCGATGTGCCGTCGGTCACCCAGTCAATGCTTAGGCGTATTTACGCAGTGATCTTACCACGTAGTGTGCCCTTGTTTTCTCCTGTAGTGGCTTGCAGTATTCTGCTAGCTTCTCGCTGATGTACTCCTTCGCCAGGATTCCGCAGTTGTAGAAGAAGTGTCGTTGCTTTTTCCTGTTCCAGCACATGTGGTGCGTGTGGTGCGCACATCTGCCCTTCAGCGTGAATGTGGTGGTCGTCGCCGAACTGCTAGCTGTAGGGATCGCTGTGCGTTGTGAGGCTAGCCACCATCTCGCCATTGTGCTGCGTCTTGTGATGGCTGGTTGTCTGCATGCTTCGCATTTCCATCCCGTGCTCGTTCTGGTCAGCCTGTGGGTGCTGCCGGCTGCAAGCTGTTCGAATCGTGGTGGTTTGGGCGTTGTCTGTCGTGCTGCGTTCCATAGTGCGTCGAGGAGGAGGAGGAGGAGGAGGAGGAGGAGGAGGAGGGGGAGGGGGACGAGGAGGAGGAGGAGGAGGAGGAGGAGGAGGAGGAGGAGGAGGAGCTGCTCCCATGTCATGGGAGGTCGTCTTGCCATGGCGTCACAGGTTGCCTGTGTGATTCGCTGTCGTACGAGTTATCCGACTGCTCGCGCTCATTCGAAGCAGCCTTGTCGTGCTGCTGGTAGAGCGTGTTCTTCAGCTGCTGTGTCTGCTCGTGCGTCGGCTTCTCGGTTGCCCATCCACGCCCGCCTCGATGCTCGTCGTGCTGCTGCAGTTTCCCAGTCTTCGTGGCTGCGGAGGTGGTGCACGACGACGTCTTGGTGTGGGCCTCCTCTAGCTTGGATTGCGTGCTTGATGTCTCTCCAGATGTCGCCGTTGTTGCGGTGGTACCTGTTGCTCTGGAAGCGTTGTGCTCGCCATCCTCTGCACAGTCCTTCCGAGCCCGTCCAGTACTCAGTGCGCCCTTTGGAACTCTGAAAGATGTGTAGTAGCGCCCACAGCTTTGCTGTGTTGTTCGTTTGTCGTGCTCCTGGTAATGGTCCTCGTGCTGCAGCTTGGACTGTCTCGTCGTGGGACATGCGTACCCAACCCCAGCCACAGCGGCGGTAGAGTCTGTCGCTGGATTCTGCTCCACCACTTCCATCGCCGCAGAATCGAAGTGGTTGGTCGCCGTCGCTCTGGAGTGTGCCGTGCGAGGCGTCCCCTTCCTTGATGTCTGTCGGCTGCGTGGTGCAGGGTGGTGGGCACGTCATCGGCTTGGGCGTTATGCCTCGTAGCCAGAATGCTGCCTTGGTGTCAAGTCCTCCTTTGGCTCTGTCTCTTAGGTGGTCCGTGCGCTGGTAGATGATGTGGTCGGGTCGGCATGGGCACTCTCCCCATATCATGCGGTAGTCGTCGTCGACTTCCCCACATTCGCAGAGGTTGGTGGTGCCGTAGGCGTCTGCGATGCGTTGTTGTGGCCATGTCCCTGCACATGCTGCTGTGAGTAGAGCCTCATGTCTGTCGTGCTTCCCTTTCTGTTGGAGGTGGTGCAGGTGGCGCTTGAGGTCGTCGAGGTCTGCCCCGTGCTCAAGTCCGCTGCCGTTGTGGTGCTTGCTTGCGTGTGTCCACTGCTGCTTTTCCAGTTGGCTGGTGATGGTGTTGAAAACGTTGGTCGGGTCTCCGTCAGCTGCGTCGTCGGTCAGGAGCCACGTGTCGCTGTTGGGGTCTTCCCAGCGTTCGGCTGCGTGAGGAGTCCAGCCTAGTTCCCATAGCATGAGGATGACGGAGCCGATGATGCCGCGCTTTTGTTGCCAACGTAGCCGTTGATCGTGTCGTGCTAGTTGTTGCTTGATGGTGTTCCATACTTTCTTGATGCGCTGTCCGGTGTTGTCGCTCGAGGCCCAGAGGTCGAGCCAGGCTTCGAACTGAGCGCGGACCATGCTGATCTCTGGGTCCTGTCCCTCGAGGTGAGAGGATCGAGGAGGAGGAGGAGGAGGAGGAGGAGGAGGAGGAGGAGGAGGAGGAGGAGGAGGAGGAGGGGGAGGAGGAGGAGGGGGAGGGGGAGGAGGGGAGTAGGGGGGGAGGAGGAGGAGGAGGAGGAGGAGGAGGAGGAGGAGGATCGAGGAGGAGGAGGATCGAGGAGGAGGAGGAGGAGGAGGGGGAGGAGCAGGAGGGAGGAAACGGACCCGCGACGAAGTCGGTCCCCGGATCTGGTCCGAGAGCTCTGGGGGGCAGGCTGCGTCGACAGGGAGCCACGGTGTCCGAGGGCCGCCACGAGGGCGCGAAGCTGCGGCAGAGGCCTCACGACCGGTTCCGCCGACCCTGGACAGGGCGTCGAGGAGGGGGGGGAGGAGGAGGAGGAGGAGGAGGAGGAGGAGGAGGAGGACGACGAAGAACCGGATTGGCGACCTTCACACGCCTGCCCCAGCGGTGGACATCCGCCCTTAAGCTGGGCGGGTGCCCGGGCTGCGGCAAGAGCAGGGGGAGGGGGAGGGGGAGGGAGAGGGGGAGGAGGAGGACGAGGAGGAGGAGGAGGAGGAGGAGAAGGAGGAGGAGGAGGAGGAGGAGAAGGAGGACGCGGAGAAGGAGGAGGACGAGGAGGATGAAGAGAATGAGGAAAAGGAGGAGGACGGTGGGTGCCGTCCGGTCCCGCTCGTGATCTTCGGAGGCTTTCCCTTGACTCGGGCTCCCCCTCCTTCTCCTCTTTCTTCCTCTTCTGCTCCTTGTTCTCGTTATGATGCTTCTCCTCTTCCTCCTCCTCCTCCTCTCTCTCCTCCTCCTCCTCCTCCTCCTCCTCCTCCTCCTCCTCGGTTCGTGGGCCATTCTTCGTCGGGTTTCGTCGCCTCTCGATCTCTGCAGGTTCCTCTCCGCTTTATCACCGTTTATCACCGCCCACCAAACCACCCCAACCCAACCCGAAGGCCCTAATTTGCCCTTCATTCCCAGTGGTGGGGGGTCGGGGAACATTGAAAAAATAGGTGTGGAACCCGTACACCCCCCCCCAAACCCGAAATTTTGGTCTTCGGGTTAGGTTGGGGTGGTCTGGTAGGTAGTCACTTTAGGCCTCCAGGATTTGGTTCAGGAGT